ATGGAATATTCTCAAGGAGGGTGGAATAATCCCTGTAAATTCCATAATTTTTGGATTTATAAAAATACTTCAGAGATTATTTAATTAATTAAAAATTAAATATAAGTCATTCATTTTCAATTTTATTTTTAATATTTTCTCCTCTTTTCACTCCGTTCAGAGATATTGTTGGTTTATTTTTTTGATTTTTCTAAGCAGAGATATGATTTTTTTGAAGTTTTTTAAGATTTTCTTGATTTAATTAATTCAAAAAATAAAACTTAATTAACTACTTATCCGACGTGGTGCCCCGTCATCCTTGGCAACTCCAAAAGCTTGCACCACATGTTTGGATTGTTTGCGCTTTCCACGCTGTCGTTCGAGCTGGCCCACAATTTCGTTTCTTTTCTAGGGACATCCTGGCGGTTCTACTCGATCGATGTCGTTCATTTTCGATACACGGAATGGACGACATCGGTTCATCGTCCTCATAGGACGATTAACGAATGACCGTTCATGATCAAATCACAATATCTCCCTTAATTCTCTATGGATTCTCACTGGATTTGTTCTTAAAACTTCATCTAACCGAGAACACATCCATATGGTTATTTAAGCATGTTGTGCATATTTCTTTCACAAATGTCCAAACCCGAAGCAATTTTTAGGGTTTTCGATCCATACCTTATCCCAAGAGGTGTGGCCTCAATTAAGCTTGACAAACACAATTGTCTTGACCTTACACAGCTTCTCCTTAGCTCAATTTGATCTGAAATCGAGCCTAGATATGAGCTATATGAAATGGTGGCTCAATTTGGTCTTGAGATAGGTTAGAGGCATCACAAAACAATAATTTTGATTGGTAAAGGGTCGTAGATGTCTTAGGAAGCTTTTGAGAGAGTTGAATTGGAGTTTTGAGGTGGTTAATGTCGAACCCGAATTTTATCCTGATTTTCAATGGTAAAATTAGGGTTTCATGGTGGCTATATTGAGCTAAGGGCAGAGGGTTTTTGTTGCCTAGGTCCTAAGGAATGTTTTCTCTGTTGGGAGGCAGAAGAGTTGAGGGTTGTCTGGGGAGTTTTTTTCTTACTTTAATGTCCATGGGGGGCTTGGATATGGCAAGGTTGGCCTGAGGAGAATACTCTGATTCCTCTGAGCTGTTTGCAAGGATAAGGAGGGGGAGTTATGGTGGGAATTCCCTCTTTTGAAAGCTTTGGCCATGGTGGCTCCAATGAAGGAAGTGGAGAAAATTCATGGCTTTGGGGCATTGTGGAGGAGTGGAGGTGTGGTGGATGGGTTTGACAGAAATCTACGTTGTCTCAAGCTTGAGAAGACTTGGGTTTAGTGGAACGTAGTACCAAGTATGAAGAAGGGTAGTTAGGTTTGTCTCATCCCCACTTTTTAATTTTGATTTTTAGTTTATTTGCATTTATTAATGTATAGGTCATTTAATTCCCTGCTGCGTTCGTTAGGGTTATGGATGACCTATTAATAGTTGGGTCATGAGCTTAATTCAAATTTTTATCCATTGGCCTAAGTTATGGGCATGGGCCATGAGTTAAAGCCTATGGGCTAACCCTAATTTAGGGCCAAATGGACCTTTTAAAACCTTCTTTTAATTAATTAAAAGAAAGTTGACCACATAGTGATAGGTTGACCAGAACGGTGATGATGACCATGTAAGGGTTAAATTGACCGTATTTTTATGGGGTTTTCCATAAGGTGATCAATTTGCTCCTATGGTCCATGGGTTATTCATATGCCCAGGAAAGGACTGTCGGGTTAACCAAAATAGTCAGGTTGACCATATGGTAGTTGGGTTGATCATAGAGTTAATGGGTTGGTCATATGGTCCAGTGTTGACCATGTTGATCAAGGGTTGACAAGGGTGGTCAGGTTGACCAAATGGTCTATTGTTGACCATATGGTGGTTGGGTTGATCGTAGGGTCAATGGGTTGATCATATGGTTCAATGTTGACCATGTTGACTATGGTGGTTAGGTTGACCAAATGGTCAATTTAGTCCCATCTAGGTCAAATTAGCGTTGTTTGATTCACATCGACCATCCTAAAGTTCCATCCCTTTTTAGGCTTAAAAGGACAAACTAGGGCTTTGGTCTGAGTTTTAGGGTCGAAGAGGGTTAGACAGACCTTTGGTGAGTTTAAAGGTCAATTTCGGTAGACCCCCATTCCAAAGTGAATTTGACCCTCTTGTCAGGCTTTAGGGCTCATGAAAAAGCTCCTAGGGTTTTAGACTGATTTTGAATAATTTAGGATATATCTATCCCTTAACTACCAATCCATGTTCACCTAAGGCATGTATATCCTTTGGTGATCAAGCTAGAGATTATTACTTAGTCATACCCTAAACCCACTCAATCGAAGAGTTGGGGGCTTAAGTTTGTATAGGTGGGTGAGATGAGTCCTTACAAAATTGAGGTCAACAATGCTGCAATCTCGTCACTAGAAATGTATAAAGAAAACAAATCGAGATGCAGAGGATGGCATGAAAAGCATAGATTTCTTTTGGGTTCTATGGCTCATTGGATGAAGTCGTCGAGGCAGTGAGTACATGAGGAGGATTGTGTCCATTCCGCAAGCTGCGACCATGATCGAAGATGGAGCTGTAAAGAGGCCATAACATGCCTTGACTTCCAAGGTGAGCAATGGCTGTGATCGTGATCGAGAATGAAAACAAAAGAGGATCTAGGGCTACGACTCTGATTCCATTTAGAACTTACTTGGGAAGGAAAAAATAGTTCACTTCATTATTCTCATATAGGATCATATATATAGGTAAACCAATCTCTCATAATTTATAAACATACCAAATATATCAAATCTAAATTCTAGAAGGAAATAATTCTGAAATATAATAACAAAAAGAAAAAAAATGAAGATGGTAAACTAATCAAGGAGTTTTCAAAGTTGTAAGGAGTTTTTAAAGTTATCTCTCATTTCAATCTTCCATGATAGGTGGATGGTCGACCGACCCGCCCAAGGAAGCAGCCATTTACTTTCTGATTTTTCAAAAAGGCATGTTCTAGATCTATTAAAAGAAGCATGGATACTTGGTTGTGAATTGACTCACGCACTTATGTATTAAACAATAGAAGTGGAAACAAAAGAAGGAAAACTTGTGGATAGGGGTGGATATCAAAGTTAGTTGGTATGCTCATTACCTCTCTCATATAACCAGATATCAATTTCTCCATGAGCATATTGATTTATTTCATAACCATCCCACAGAGGAAGAAATGAAAATCTACGAAAACGTTGCCATAAGCATTACAAAGAATCATATTTATACTCCAGAACAAAACATGTTGAGATCGATCATCATTTCAATAAAATAAAGATAGAGGAACGACTCATGTAGCTTATATACACAACAACAAATCCTTAAAATATAGATATGCTTACAACATACTAACTTTCAAAATTTAGAATCCAAGCTGGGAATAATTGATATTACAATGTGGATTGAGAGGTATTGTGGATATTTGCTCTTCTCTTTAATGCATGGAAGTATGAAAATATCTCCTTATATGGGAATGTCTTTGTTAGATAAGGAGAGATTTTCGATAGACAAATTCTCTCTCTTCATTTATTTCTTGTTTTTATTTAGATCATTTAGTTAATTCTTTAATTATAAATGAGTTCTTCTTTCTTCACTCTAGCTGTATAGCTACAAGGTCTCATGCATCCAGAGACACGAAAAATTAAATTTCCAGTCTTCATATGAAATATTTTTTTGGAGAGTTTCATGGGTGAGTGACTTGCCATAGTTTTGGGTAAGTAAATCTCCGTTATCTCACAGTTTTTCCCCTTTCACAATCATAAATTTCCTCTTTTCATTTGCTTTAAATTTATTTTTTCTTTTGTCTATATCAAATTTGTATAATAGTAGGTTTTGCCATGCCTGCACTTAGAGCATTTTGATAACCCATAATGTGAAGAAGCTTCATCTAATATCAAACTCAAGGTCGATTTTTTCCAATGAATGACAGCATGATCAAGTATCTCGTTGGATTTCAATAGTATTTCTGAATCAACACTTTTCTCCCTCCTTCCATCTCATTTATTTGTACCTTCCGACAACCACCCCCACCAGAACCCTCATATAATTCATCAAAAGTACATATTTGAGGCTATAACAAATATGGATGTGGAAGGGTTTTGGGAAGAGCCTCTGCATGATATAGGGAGTAAGAGATTCTTATTATTTAGTAGTATGATTCCGCTATGTAATGGATAAGTGGGCTTTCTTTTGTTGAATGATTGCCCCATCCTTATAGTGATTGAGTCGCCATAATTTCAGGCGAGTTAGTCCTAACTTATCTATGTAAACTTTTTCTTTTTTCATAATAATGGCATTCCTCATCCCATCTACTTGAAATTGCACTTCGTTTCTTATGCTACATTAAATTTTGTCTAACTCAGAGATGGTACAAATGCATGGTAAATAATCTTCTAGAAGCTTGTTATCAGAAGTTCCTTAACGTTTGTCTTTTTATTGTTTTATCAAAATCTGTAGTTTATCTTGTACGTTCTGTATTATCTCGCTTTGTAAACTTGAAGACAATCTCCTATTACGTTAGCACGAAATGTTCTAAATTTATTTTTCTTAAAAACTTATCCTACCCGGGTTGATTTTCTAATCTTTGTGTTACGCTGTTGGCAAGTTACCATAGTGTATACCCTTCAGTAGAGACATGCGTGTATATTTTATTTTTTCAACTAATCATGGCTGGTTTCTTTCCTAGATTCTAATTTGTTGTATATCTTCAGTTTTATGAATGAAGGTCTTTGTGTTATGTATTTCTTTGATCATATCATGAAATTATTTCCTTCATATTGCACGCTAGCAAACCAAGTCAACTTAGGCAAGGTTGTTTTTGTCAGATATTATTTTGGATTATCTTATAAAACTTGTTTGTTATAAATACTACACTAAAATTTGTGGTGAATGGTTTTTTATGCTTACTGATGTTTATGGCTTCTTTTTTCCTGATGAGCAGTTAAGACGGTCCCACTGTTTGAAACTGTATTTACAAGATGTATCATTATCCTGATCTTGTCATTTCTTTGGTTAAGAAAGGTTCGGCTCCCATTATTTCCGCCAAAGCATGCAAGAAATCTATTAATACTGCGATCCCTTTGTGGTTTCATCTCGCTTCTGAGTTTCATTTATAGGTTGGTACTAGTTATTTTTCCTTACATTATATAATTTATGTGCTTTGGCATTGTAATTTAAAACCTCCTTGGTTTTCACTGTGCTTGTTTTTATTTTGTTTTTTTAACATAACTACGTCAAACTCTCTTTAATGAAGTTATGATCAGAGATTCTGATTGTACCAGGATAAATGCCTGGTTCTTCTATTGGTATATTAGCTTCGGTTATGAGGTAGAATTACACATTAATAAGAAATTATTATCTGTGTCAAGAAGCTCTAAGAAATTTCTGCACTTTTGCTTGCTTCTTCAGCCAATCCACTGTCTTTACATCAGCTTTCTTAAATGCGGTTAGCTTATTTAGAGAGCAGGCATTGTGATCTCCTCAATCCATTATAAAATCTAATTTAATCAAGAGAATGTTATAAGTGTTGATATATATATATATAATTTTATTGATGAACTGCGCAAGAAAAAGATGACAAAAAAAAATGATAAAATTTCACTATTGATATTGAGACTAGAGAGAACCTTTTGATATCGAAGGGGTTGTTGATATGTGTTTTGTTAGAAGACGACCAACATTTATTAGAGATGGTTATAGTGGGTTGGGTGACAACCCAAATAATTAATTTAAGTTAATATCTATTCAATAATAAAGTGACATTCCTAAGACAATAAAACAACTAATAAGAATGAAAATATAAGTAAATATATTGAATAGTATCAATTTGCTATGGTTTAGTGAAAACTAATCTTCCACCTTCTAGACCCTGATTTGTGCATGTCAGTATGAGTGTTGGTGAAAATTATGACTTGTTGAGCCTTCTTACTCTACTATATCACTACTTGGCCCTAGGGGGGTAAGTTGGGGTGTGATAGAAAGTGGTATTATTGCAAAATTGGATGAATCAATAATGAAAGCATGTTTTGATTTAGAAGTATGAATGAGATTAAAATATGAATTGATCAATACAAAGCTATAAGCTGATTGAATTTCGGTAGGTAGCACGTATGACTTGAGAAATAATTCATGCATGATATACTTATTATATGATAAATTACATTGAATAATAAATTGTGTAATTACATGTAATTTTACTTGAAAAATATCAGAAAAAATTGAAGTCCAACCCTTTAGACCACCTACAAATTCAGAAATGCTAGGAAGAAATTATTCCTATGGAAGTGAGATTTAAAATAGAACCAAGGAAGCTCGATGCAGTGAACTACAAGCTATTGTTAAATTGATATCTCAAGTAGTAGATAAGATGACTTCTATTGAAAGATCTTCTTCCATCGTTGGGCCAAGATCTGCATATGATATGAAAGTTGATCAGAATGTGCAAATTTGTTTGATATTCAAACTACTTGCATTCAACTGTGTCGGCGACTCTACAATTGTTGAAGATTGGTTACTAGAAACTAGAAAGATTATTGATGGAATGATTTACTCAGAGAATATAATGTTAGAAGGTTAAATAAAAGGCGGTAAAAGACACAATTAGGATAGAAATTTAGTTTGATACCACTCACCTAGATTCAGTGGCATGACTTCATAGCATTATTCAAGGATTGATTCATTCCACTGTCATCCCGATTAAGATTATTGGAAATTTTCAATTTAGCTTAGGGATCTTGGATAGTAATGCGTTATGAGGCAATATTTACTTTTCTCTCCATATATGCCTCTCATTATGTCAGCACCCAGGAGAAAATATGTTATAGGTTCTTCAAGGTCTTATAGAATAGTTGAGATTGGCTTTAGCTATTTTTGAAATAAATAATTTCTAAGGGTTTGTTGAAAGAGCCAGAAAGAATGAAAATGAGCTAAATATCTCCAACAATAGTTGAAACCACAAGCAGGCAAGCAAAGAAGTTTGGGACAAGGAGGAGATCTCAAGCACAAGAAGTTCAAAATTGATAAAAATTAGAAGCAAACATTGTTAGAAAAATCAATTTGTGAGAAAAATGGAAAAAGATATATTGGATAGCGGTTAGTTGGATCAAGAAAGTGCTTTAGATGTGGACAGACAAAGCATCATCAGCTGGATTGTTCGTTGGGAAAATAAGGGGACATCAGATCACATACAATCCAAGAATTGTGACAATAAAAATATTTTTTGGAAGGTAGTTAGCCAGTCAAACCTCAACTTTAAGAAAACCTTCAATTTGGGCAAAATTAGAGACTTCAAAAAGCTGAAATGACTCAATAATGAAGGCCAGTGTTTTTACAATCATCCCTCACAAAGGCAAATAGTTTGAAGAAGTGGTTACATGTATATATTTTTTATTCAATAAGTATTGTATATTTTAATTTGATTCAGGTGTATCATATTCCATTATTTTTGAAGATTTTTCTGCCAACATATCTGTTAATATTGTATATTTTATTGCTGCGATTTGTTTTTTATGCCTTATGGAGATTATTTTTATGAAAATTGAAAATGTTCTGTGCATGTTAGTATTATGCATTGGAAGATGCCAGTAGAATTAATCATAATACCAATCAGAAATGTTGATATAATACTAGTGATGGATTGGCTAGCTAGACATTTTAAAACAATTGAATGTTAGGAAAAAAAATGTGAAAATTTATTTGGTGAGAAATCTTTTATTTCTCCTGTGATAGGAATGTAATATTTTCTCTAATCAGCGTAGTGGGGATTGAAAGTACTTCAGTGGAGAATATATATTTTTGACAAAATTATTAATGTTGAATAAAGATGTGCAGGCATTAAAAAATACTTTGGCATCGATGTGAGCTGTGGACATCAATAATTTTCAATTCACCTTACATAATTACTCCTAAAAAATTGGAAGAATTAAAATGCCAATTACATGAATGAATGGATAAATTCTTTGTCAGGCCAATTAATTTACCATGAAGTGCTATAGTACTGTTTGTCATACATAAAGATGGATCTATGCGATTATGCATTGATTACAAAGAGCTATATAATGTAAAAAATTTAAAATAAATATCCACTACTAGGAATAGATGATTTATTTAATTAGTTTGAAGGGGCTACAATCTATTCTAGGACTGATCTGAGATTTGAATATTACTAGCTTGGAGTGAAAGAGACATACATAATTAAGATAGTTTTTGGGACAAGTTATAGTTATTATGAATATTTAGTTGTCTTTTGGTCTAACAAATGCCTTTGCAATTTTCACGGACCTAATGAACCTTGTTATAATAAATTAATTTATTATTATCTCCATTGATGATGTTATGTTATATTCAAAAATTAATGGTGATCATGTTTAGCATGCGAGGATAGTCATGTAGCTACCGGAACAAAATCAATCATTTGTAAACTTTTTAAAATAAAAATTTTGGTTATAGAGCATTGCATTCTTAGAGCACATCAACAGTGGACAAGAAATCTCTGTGTATCCTCGGAAGGTGAAAGTTATTGTGGAATGACTTGCACTAAGAATCTCATAGATGTACACAGTTTTTTGGGCTAGTAGGATATTAGAGGAGATTTATTATGAGATTTAATAAATAGTCATGTCATTGCCGAAATTAATGAGAAAGGATGTCAAGTTTGAGTGTACAAAAGATTGTGAATACAATTTTCAAGAATTAAGAGTCATTTGATTATTGCTCGTGTTAGCTATTCTATTAGTAATAGAGGGATTTTATATTTATAGTGATGCATCACTGATAGGTCTGAGATACATTCTAATGTAAAATAGAAGAGTAATCCCTTATGTATCAAAACAATTGAAATCACATGAGAAGAATTATCCAACTCTCAATCTAGAGTTGTCAAATGTAGTCTTTTCTCTCAAAATATCAACTCATTACCTATATTAGGTGAAGTATGAAATATTCATTGATCAACAGACTCTTAAATATTTATGTCACATAAAAAGAGTTGACTTTTGAGGTGGAGGAGATGATTGGAGCTCCCCAAAGATTATAATTTGCATATACAATATTACCCTGATCGAACAAATGTAATAGCTGATTTTTTGAGTCGTAAATCTACTTATATTATAAGATGGATTATTACTTAGAAGCCATAATTGATTAAATAAATGAATGTTTTTAATTGAAATCAAAATGCCTGAGGATGCAAGGTAATTGCATCAATTGATTATGCAGCTAAATTTAGCAGACAAAGTCAGCACAGAAAGTTAGTAAAGTATTTCAAAGACTCAATGAGCAAATTAGTCAAAAAGAGATATGAGGTGACTACAGATGAAAATTGTGTTATTTGAAATAAGCTGTAACTTTGGGTACCTACCAATCCAGATTTGAGACGAGATATTGCATGAAGCTCATCATTCAGGATATACACAATTCACTTAGCCAATACCCAAATTTATGAGGATATGAAATTGATGTTTTGCTGGCTAGTTATGAAAAAGGATGGGAAGGCTTGTATCAAGATGTCAAATTTGTCAAATTTTTGAAGTTGTACAACAAAGATCTAGTTGATTCCTACAATCACTGCCTATACCTGAGTGAAAACGAGGAGAAATTATGATAGAACTCGTAATGGGATTTCCTAAATCAACCATATAGGTTACAATAACATTTATGTATTTATCGATAGATTGACAAAATCAGTTCATTCTTGTCACTTAAGTAGGCAGGCTAAGTTCTATACCAAGGAAATTATCACACTACATGGTGTCCCAATAGTAATTAGTTTTGACAAAGATGAAAATTACATCTTAATTATGGAAAGTTATTCAAATTGCTTTGGACACAACTACATTGTACTACAATATTCCATTCACAAATTGATTGATACTCAGAAAGAACAATTTAGATATTAAAAGATCTATTGAGGCTTTGTGTTTTAGATTTTGAAGGTAACTTGGAAAATCACATTCTAATGATTAAATTTATATATAACAATAATTATCAATCTAGTTTTAAAGTGGCTCCATATGGAGCACTATACGATAAGTGCAAAACTCCATTAAGTTGGGTTGAGGTAGGAGAACATCAACACCTTGGTCTAGAGTTAGTTAATAAAGTCATAAAGGAAATCAAATTAATTATAGACAGATTAAAAGCTATTCAGGATTAAAAACAAATATATTGTGATCTAAACCACAAAGCTATGGTGTTTGAGGTTAGTAATTTTGTGTTTTTATAAGTCGGACTGATGAAAGACAACTAGATTTGGTTAGGAAAATAAGTTGAGTCCCAGCACATTGGAACTTTTGAAATTATAGAAAATATTGGCCAAGTTGCTTACAGACTAGTCTTACCAGTTGATTTGTTAATTATCCATGATGTGATTCACATATGCATGATGAGAAATGGTTTTCATACTAAGGCTGGAGAATTTCAAGTGAAAATATTGAGGTTCAGAAGAATATGACATATGTTGAAGAGTATGGGAAAATTTTGGAATCAGATATTAAGAGCTTGAGAAAAAGACAAATTTTCTATATCAAGACAAAGTGAAAACATGGGTCTAAAAAAGAAGTCACTTGGGAAAGGAATAAGAAATGAGATAAATTTTCCTATCTATTCAAGTATTCTTTCTAGAGATTTTTAGGATAAAATTTTTATGAGTATTATAATACCCAAATTAGTCAATTCAGTTAAAATTTTGATAATTTTGAATAGTCATTTACATATATACCACCCAGTTCTTATGTATTCACATATCTAACACCTAAATTTTGCTTTATACATTTATACCACTAAAATCTTTCATACCACATAAAAAATTTACCATTTTAATTTTTAAAAATAGGTGAGGTGGTATGTCTGTAAAATTTTAAGTTTGGTGTTAGATATTTAAATACATAAGAATTGAGTGGTATATATCTAAATTTTCTTATTTTAAAATACACAATTTTTTTGCATTCCCTAAAATCCAACCGAACTATTTTTTATAAAATTTAACATTTTGTATCAATCAAATTGATATTTAATACTATATAATTGATTTTTTTAAATAAATAAATCTTAATCATTATTCAAATTAACTAATCCTAGATTAATTAAACTCTAGATTACTATAGAAGAAATCAATCTCGACATATATATATTTGCCAAAATAAAATTTCATTGATAGGAAGAAGATACAAAGATTTTAGTGAGTGAGTGCTAAGAACCCACTCACAAGGCATACAAGACTCAAAAGGTAACCAAAAAGTACAAGTATACCAAAAAAAAAGCTAAAGAAATTCCCCAAAAAGATAAAAATGGTTCGCGGCTTCTCGGGAGGAGGCTTCATGTTTGGGACAAAAATCCACCAGAGAGCTTAATCATGATGAGCGGGCTTTCCTCTCTCCCTAGTTCTAGAGAGGGAGTAGTTGAACACTAAACTGTGATGATGGCTTCCACCCGAAACTAGCAAAACATCCTCCTGTAAATTCTTGAGTTACTTTAGTCCTTTTTTCTTCTTCCTGGTTTTGTAAACTTGTTAATCATCTTCTAAGAGTTGTCCCAACATATCACTGAGTTGTTCATCAAAGGGATCAACTTCTGTCTGTTGCAAACCTTGAACTTAACACTCAGCCATGGTATGAGGGCCCTCAACACCAACAATAATTGTTTCCATACAATAATTGTTTCCATAGCATTAATTGTTTCCATAGCATATGAAGCATTATCTGGCACCAAAATGAGAGTATCCTCATTTTCAGCAACATGGGGTGCTGAGGTAGTGAGGGGCGCTCCTTTGGGGAAAAATCAGTGGCAATATCCTCTCTAGTTGCAGCTTCCACCGTTTCAGTTGGTGGAATAGGTGCTTCTTGAGTAGTTAGGTGAGGCACTTGAGGTTGTGGTCTCAAATTAGGATGGAGCTTGAAACGTTTTTCAAGTTTGTAAAAACATCTTACAATGGGTGTAATAGTATGGTCTTTGTTCCATGACAATCTATTGTCAGTACTCATTATGTTTAGTGCCAAGTCAAATTTCTTCAATGTCAAGTAAAGTGATATCTCTCTCCACAAGGAACTTGACAACAGAAGGTCTGGTGAGATTAAAAGTGGGTACATCTAATTTTATTGGTCTCCCAAGCATGGCTCCAATGGAATAAAGGACCCAATGGTTGAAAAGATGCAACTTAAGCCCATGTAACTTAAACCATATTGTTACTGTAGGTTGTTCTTATTTAGGATCAAATTCAGGAGACCACTTGAGCAATTTCATAGTTTTTCTTTCAATGGTGAGGAATTTCCTGAAAAAAATCCTAGCATAGTCTTCATCTATGTAGTATGTATCATCACATGTCTCCTATCAAAGAGACCCATCGTCCATTGTCCTACAAGTTTAAGATCCTCAAAAGCTTTGCGAATAACCTCTATTTTGGATGCCCCAACTAAAATTTTCCAATGAGTTTGAATTTGCATTTTTCAACCAGAGTAGAGACTTCGAGTAGAGACTTCGAGGTCTGATTCGAGGTCTGAAAAAATAAGAGCGGTCTTACCACCCTTCCTACAAGCCCTCTTAACAAATGGACAGTAAGCTTTCCCTTCAAGAGAATTATGATAGTTCTAAGGAAACACCACATGTTCGACAGCCTTCTCAGAGTCTAGACCCTTTCCAAGCACCTCAACAAAAGATTTTTTGCCTAGGTACTGATTTGAGTGTGGAACAGTAGCCATCGAAGTAGAAGACAAAAAAAGGAGAAAGGATGCCGCAGTGGGAGGCGTTGTCAAACAAAGGAGCTGTTGTGCCGAAGAAGAGGATGAAGGAGCAGACTGCAGGTGCAATCTACGTCGAAGCCGATGAAACCTTGTGTGCGGCTTTTGTGATGAAGAAAGTCTTTCACCTGGTCAGAAAAGTCGTGATCGAAGGAGAGGAAGAAGGAAAGGCTCATGCATGAGCTAGGGCGGCGACGAACCTGTTACGATGCTCCCATCCCTTCTTCGAGTAGGACGAGGTTTCGTGCGAGAGCTAGGGTGGCAACAAACTTGCTACGATGCTCCCCTTCCCTTCTTCTTCGAGTACGACGAGACGACGATGCGACGAACAGGCTTCGTTCTCGTTCCGGCGTAAAGATATCGAGGGCTACTCGGTCGCCATGGAATCGCGACCAGAGCAAAACTCATCGATAACCATGCACAAGTTTAGATGTCATGGTTTAGTTTGGCATTTGTTACAATAACCATGCACCAATTTTTGCTTTTTATTAGATCTCATAGTTATTTAATTATTTATCATTAGCTCTACATACTTTCTTGTTGAAACTAGTTAATTCACGTTGGTTCTTCTTGTTGCACTCTCTTGCTCGTTAGTTTTCTTTCATGCTTTTCACTTGTTCTTTCTTCTTGCGCTACTAGCTTCTTCTTGAAAATGTTTCTCAATACCTTATTTTTTACATTTCCTTACTTTAGGCTGGCTTTTATCTTTAGTTGGTCATTCATGCTTTTCATTTTTTTGGCTTTGGATAACTAGAAATTTCTATTATATCGTTATATTTCTAAAAAAATATTTGTTAGCGTGTAAGTTTAAATTTGGCTAATTAAGTAACTATTGTATGTACAAAATATATCATATATGATATAGAAATCATTAACGCCCTAGCTTGTGTACTGCTGCTTTGCTTTATATTTTCTGCACAAGTAAAAGGAATTCATGTGCATCACACTGTGCTTAGCACTTCAAAAAATAACAATGTAGTGTATTTTTATAAGTTGGTTATTTTTTTCATTTCCTTTATAAGTATTTCTTACAATTATAATAAGTTTATTGCTCCTTTTAAGACTTTTGTTATTAGTTCCTTCGCTCATGTAAGTATCTAGCCTAAGCTTCAGGCAATAATATAGCCTTGAAGTTACCTAGTGCTTTTAACGGCATTAATTTTAATTATCAAAATTGTCAAAATATCAAATCTTTATATGCATCATTATATATCAAGTTCTGTATCTTCAATTTTCATGGAAAATACATTCCAAGTGCCATAATACTTCTATAATGATTTATCCTCAACTTTTTCTTCATCTTGAAATTGTTGATTTTTCATTTGAGTGACTGCAGTTAGGCCTTTTTTTCAGTGTAAAAAATCTACCGCTATCATATGCTATTTGTCTGAACTTTGCTACCCCAATTGTGGCATCTATTGGTGCAAAGTTTATTTTACAGGAGAAATTGGCTCTTTCAGATATTGGAGGTATGACTGCGCTTTTTTGGAGTTATTTAACATGTTTATTACCTTTTTCCAGAAAGTTATTTTATTTAATCCTTCATTTATTCGTAGAGGGGTAGATAGCACATGTGGGTGCCCTATTACACGGTGTTTCAATGTATAAGGTAAAAAAAGTTTAATATTCTGCGGCATATATACCACCAAATTCTTATGTATTTTCATATCAAATACCTAAATTTTAATTTTAACATTTATGCCACCAAAAACTTTCATATCATGTCAAAAATGTCACCATTTTAACTTTCAGAAAGTTAAATTCATATTTTCATGCATAGGTAAGGTGTCATGTATGGAAAAATTGAAGTGTAGGGGTTAGATATGTGTAAATATATAGGAATTATGTGGTCTTTATGTACAACAACGCTCACTTATTCACGACATATAATAGTTGAGGATTTAGTCTCTCATCATGAGGTCGGGGGTTCAAATTATGCATATTGTTTTTTGGACTTAATTAAATATATATTTGCAACACCAGCAACAACAAGCCTTCATCCCACTAAGTTGGTTTTAATTACATGAATCCTTTTTTTCCATTGTGTTCTATAGTGTCATATTTTTATTTAATTTTAAAAAAATAAGATGATTTTTTTATACAACATGGCCAAATCTTTTTAGGAGAGTGGTATGTATGTAAATCATCCTAATTGTTTAGCCATCAGCTGCAGATGATCATATAAAATGAAAGTGAACTGCATGGTGAAGGGCGTGAATTTTGTTGCTGATTTTGAGAAACTGACTGATAAATTTGAATCTGTAAATTGTTTGGTGAGGCTGATTAATAGAGTAACTTTATAATTGCCCTCTCCCCAGTTATGTATGTTATTGGCTACATCTTGAAGTGTGTGAAGTTCTTTTAGTACTACTCTTTGTATAACTCTCTGTATTAGTATTGATAGATTTTGAGGTGTTATGACTAGATATAAGCACAAAATTTCCTTGAGATAAAGATAAATGGGGGCATTTACATACATACCACCTAATTCTTATGTATTAACATAGCTAACATCTAAACATTTATATGTATATGCATACCACTCAAATCTTTTACATTGCATTAAAAATATCATAATTACTATCTTTTTAGAAGTAAAATACACCTTTTGTTGCGTAGGTTTACTACAATTAGATTTTATAAGTGTAAATATCAAACTCTGTGTTAGACAGGTAAATATATAAATGAAGCGGTATGTATGTAAATTCCCTCAAAATTAAGATGAACTGCCGCTTATTGTATCTACGATGGATAAATTTGTTGTGAATTTGCTAAAATCATGTGTTGCTAATAACTTATGGAGTCATGGATAAAGGGGGTAATGTTAAGAGTAAAATTGGAGTAAATAATTTGATGACTCATGCCGCTCACCAAACATTAATCATGACCCGGCTCGGGGGTTTGGAATTCTCAATATGGGAAAGGATAGTCATACCGTAAAAATAAAATTTAATTATTGATTCTAAATCCAAAATAAAAAAGATTTACTAATGATTAAAATTAACTTGAACAAATAATAAATTTACCTTTCAGTTTGTTGATTTCGACTTCTGCACACATTATATCCTCTGTTACTCATCTTTTAATCAAAATTTTAAACCTAAAAATGTTAAGTTAAAATAATAATGAGCTATTAACAAATAGTGAATACTCTTACTTTTTAATTACAATAATTTAACAAATAAGAAAATAATATATATGCTACCGATCAAAGATAAATCAGTATAACAAAAATAACAATTTACTAATTAAGGATGTCACTTTGATAAGTTTCATAATATTCATTCATACTATACTATCTCTTTTTGTTTATAAATGTTATCTATATTTCTGTTAAAGGAGCATCATCTAAACATAACATGATGCATCTCCGAGCAATATATATCTCATTAATGTAGTGGTGCAAATAATAAGTTTATTATTGTCTAAGATGGAAATGTACATGTTCTCCCCTGATCGATATATTTACATCAACACAGTGGTTTGTGAATTAAATTTAATTCATTTCTGAGATGGTAGAAAAAATATCTACGTGCACTAGTACATTAACTTCGCTAGTTAGTACCATTAGAGATTGAACTTTATCATATTCAACATGTATATTCAAACATACTATTATAATCAATATCTATAATTATTGTTTCACTTATATTTGTACATTAGGCAGCATGCATTCATAATACTTAATCTCTTTGATATTTAAATATATTGAGAGTATGTATCATTCATTCAATATAATCAAATATTCAACAGATTTGATAAATCATGAATTCGCAGTGCATCAATATATAACTAATGATATTAGTAATAAATGCATTTGGTTTAGAAGAATAAAAAATAATATTATCATAATTTAAAATATAAGTACTCACCTTACTACTTAAAAGTTTAAATAGTATTCCTTGCTGTTGACATTGCAACTGACTCTATAAAATGTAAATTCCTAAAAGTGAAACCAAATCAAAGTATAAGACACCTATAATTATTATAAGTATTTCTTTTCATTAGCTTCTTATTTGATTCATTATATTTTAATTTAATCTCTCTCTCTCTCTCTCTCTCTCTCTCTCTCTCTCTCTCTCTATATATAATATATATATATATTATAAAGCCCTAGGGCAGATTATATTGAAATAAAAAAAGGTACAAAAAGTTGCATGAGAGGGCCCAATAGATGATGCCCTACTCATGATACATGATACCAAGATATCCCAATAAAAAAGATACAAAAGACTCAAATAAAAAGAAAACATGCAAAAACAAGTGTCTATGGACGAAACAGTTTAGACCTGTCTCTTCCTCTGATTCTTGGAGCGGATCCAGATAACAAACTATGAAAGTGACCAAGGTATTATCCATTAAGTTTCCAAGCTGAACAGTGTCCCCAACCTTCTTCCTCCGCCGAGAAGTGTAAACTTGTCATTCTTCTTCTGATGACTGTTCAGTCTGATCCGTAGAAGGAAAAATAGTTGCAACGATGAGTTTCTGAGTTTGTGTAGGAAAGTCTTCCAATACTTGGGAAACATCTGCCCTTTGAACATGTAGTTCTACTAACTGATTAACAACAGTAAAATGGTTTGTGTTTGGCTCTAAATCTTTCTCATTAGTATTAGGAGACACCTTTTTCGTTATCTGAATATGAATGTTCGCTTCATCCTTATCTTCAATCACCTCATAGAGGGGAGCCTGAGCACCCTCCACGGTAGGTTGAGCTTGAGAGGATAGTATGCTCACTCCAGTAGAAGAAGGGGCGGTGACCGCGTCCTGCCTTCCAGGAGCAACCACCTAACTCTCCTTTAACAAACGACCTTTATCAACATTTTACGAAACAATATCAGTAGACAAACCATTTTGCACCGTATCTGCCATGGGCATAGCAGTAGGTGTCATAGGCAGTGAGAAAGAGGGTATAACCTCCGCAGAAGTGTGCTGAGAAACAGGAGGTGGGGCTACAACCGACCGTAGATGGGGATGCAACCGATAACTGGATGAAGAGCTATGACCAAACATTCCACAGTGAGAGTAGTAATGGGGATGAGGTCCCATCACAATCTTCTGCCAATAACCCTGATGAGGGGAGCCAATCCAAATCTCCCTTGGAAATGGTTGAGTGATGTCACACTCTACAAGCACACAAGCTTCAGATGGCCTGGTTGTATCAAGCGTGAGAGTATCGACTTTCAGCGGTTTCCCAAAGGCAGTTGCCAACGTATAAAGGGTTTCATAATTGAAGAGATGCACCTAGAGCCCTGGAAAATTAACCCAAATCGAGATCATAGGAGATTCAAATTTAGGATCAAAATTCATTGTCCATTTCAGAATTTTCATAAAGTGATTATCGATTTTGAGAACTTTTTGAGCAAAGAGTTGGGTATAATCTGCGTCATTTGAGAGTTGAATGAGAACGTGACGGTCATCTAGCGAACCAACTTTCCAACTCCCTGTGAGCTTAAGTGAATCGAAATGCTTTCTAATAATCTCAAGCTTGGGATTTCCATACGGAAATTTCCCAATAAGAGTATGTCTACATGTTGAAGCCAATATACTTGTTTCCTCATCAGTGAGAAACAAAGCGAGTTTGCCATTCTTTCTTCCCAATTTTTTAATAAAGGTATAACCACCTCTAGATTCATGTGCATCATGAAATTCTTGAGGGAAAAAACAGGAACAGCCGCCTGCCCTGGGAGTAGAACCTCCGGAGACAGCCGCGACATAACTCGGGGCCATTCAATCAAACCAGAACAAAAACCCCACGCGCAAACACTGGAGCTGGAGCTACGAGAAGGGAACCCAAATTTGGAACATAAACAGGGAAACGACCGGTCCGGCAAGCTGGAGCGAAGCCCTTCGTCGTCGGGAACGAAGACCGAAGGACGCGTGCAAGCTCGTCGTCTGGCAGAAAGGAGACGACTCGCGAGCATAACGAAGGCGAGAAGCCCTTCATTGTCGGGTATGACAAAATCAAAAGCCGTGAATCTTCGTTGTCCCAGTTAGTAATGAAGTGGTATAACTCAATCATCACAAATTTTCATAGTTCATTTACATTCTCATATATTTGAAAGCGTGGACATCATGTCACCAATATATATATATATTAAAAAGCCCAAGGGCTAATATATTGAAAATGAAAAGATACAAATAGGTTGTATGAGTAGGCCCAAAAGAAGACACCCAACCCACACGGTACAACACACTCAGAAATCCAAATAAAAAAGATACATATAAGATCTAAAAACTAGAAACCACTGAAGCGCACAAAGAGTTAGGAACGACCCAATTTAGTCCTGCCTCTACCTGTAGTTCTTTGAAGGGAGCCAACTAACAAATTGGTGAGGTGCGTACCATTATCCGAAGTAACCAAAATATCATCAATTAGATTCCTGAGCTCAAGTAGGTCTCCATTCTTCTTCTTTCTCCTGGATGTGTAAACCTGTCATTCCTCATCCGAAGATTGACTTTGCTTGTTCGG